TCCCTGAAAGGACGTCTCTGTTGGCATCCACCCCTTGGCGCTCATATGACCTTATGCAGTTGTGAGCGCCGTAAAACCTCTACTAAAACAACAGAGCAGTTTGCGACCAGCTTCTGGACAGACTAGGAGACTTCTCAGCGAGAGAGACGGACCAGACAAGAGTTGTTCGCTTCTCTCAGCTGTGGGGCCCGTGCTGACCCTCGACCCTCCTCTGTGGTTCACCGACTTGTTTCTTTCCATCTGACAAACACTGTTGAATAATGAAGAATGTTGAATCTAGAACTGGGGTCTTAGGAAGAAGGAATGCTCCATGCTTTGACAAACACTGTATGAGTCACAAAGACAAATGGTCGCTTTTAAGCACAAGGGGGCTTTCCCGAAAAATAACTGTTTCGAGAAAATAGGAGGTAAAGTTTTTGCCCCTTGTTCAGTTTATTTAAAAGACAAGGAGAGTTTTCTCTATAACCAAACAAATATACACACCAATGAAACCAAACTTCTCCTATAGGTAGGGCAATGCCCACTTTTTGTGTAGGTCAAGATTTCTGGAAACCCCCGAAATCTGGGTTAACCTGCTTGTCCTTAAAAGCGACCAAATAAGGACTGACATGTAGTTTTCTGGCTTTGTTTGTACAATTGAGTATATATATAGTGTTGTCTGACCGAACCCTTCCTTGCTCTGTCTCTGGGAATGTTCAGGACTGTTGGGGGATTTCTGGGGAATTTCCTACAGAGTTCTTGATGGGCTGTGTCTCGTGTAACTGGAGGATGGACCCATAAGACTATATCATTTGAGAGGTCTTTTGAACTATCTTTTAGGGGAACGCAGGAAAATGGAGAGTTTCACAAAGACAAAAATGTGACGTTGATGAGGGTTTGGATATGGCCGCTGGCAGAAGGGGGGGGGGGACACCTCTAATCTTCTGGTGCTCATATGACCTTATGCAGTTGCGAGTGCCGTGAAACCTCTACTAAAACTAAAACTAAAAAGCATTTCTCATATGAGTCACGACATGGAATCAGGCGCTCGTCAATTTCTGGGCATGTGGAGCTGTAGGTATCATCTTAAAGCTTGTTCATTTGTCTTGCTTTCGATGAAAAAAAATTATACCCATCTCTCTTAAATAGAAGTCGAGAAACTTGCGATTGAAGTTGGAGGGGTCGCTTAGTTTCAGAAATTACATGCGATTTTTACTTCAGATGAATGCAGCATATATGTTAGTAGTAAGACTGAAATAATTGTTTGTGATTTTTACTTTTTTAAAGTTTTTTTTTCTTTCTTTTCTTTCAGACGAAAGCGGCGTATGTGTTAGTGTACCAGCGCAGAAATCTGATCCAGAGCCGCAAGGCCTCGAAAACCCACACGGCGAGCGCCACCATCTCGCTGCAGTACAACCACAACAGCCCCTCCATCTCCAACGGTGTAGGGCCCGCCTGCGACGAGGACATGGAGACGAACTAACGGCAACGGGGGCGGGGTGGTGGGGGGCATTATTGTGTGTAGGGACACAGAGACGAACTGGC